GTAATCTTAATAGGAGATTGGACCATCTTATGCTATACTTACCACATAGATCCTTGAAGGGGGGGGGCTTTGACATTCCTTCCTTAAGAAGCATTCTGAGAGTATTGCATGAGCAATACATGTCCTGTACCGGTTCTCCATTTCCTTCAGGATGTCATTTTATAATATGCAAAACTTATGTCCAAGGTAAAACTGCTTGATCTTGAGGTTGTGAATGCCTTTAACCTAATAAAATACTAGTAATCAGCAAAAAAACGAAGATTCAACTCATTCAACGTCTTTTTCTTGCTTCATATTTACCATTTAGCACAACAATAACCCGATGTTATTAAACCATTATAAAGAATTCAAGATGCCATAGATCTGTCAAAAATCAATGATATTTAAACTTCTTCTGTAACTCATGTTCATCAAGATACACTAACATACCAGAATTCAGCTCAATATCTTCAAGCGTTTAGAAAAAAGTGCGGAAAACCAAGTAGGACAGACTGACAGACAGACGAGGACAGACAGACGCACAGACAGACGGATGGACGGACAGATAGCTAGACAGAAAGACAGACGGCCGGACGGATAGACACAGAGGAAACCTATAGTCCCCTCCCGTTTTACTGGTAGGGGGACTAATAACATTGGGATTCAGATCCGGGGATTGGACATTGCATCATCACACAAATGCCGTTTGTTTAATATCCCTGGATGTTTAACACGTAAGTATGATTAAGACTGAATACGTAGAATTTGTGTTAAGTGTATTTGCAACTCATCGTTATTTTAAATAATTAAATTGCTGCTTTGTTGTAGAGAGAATAATCAATCTTATCAGAACACTTAAGGTAAAATTTTATTGCATTTTAACACTCGTCTGAGCATACTTTCAGCGACCTTTAATGACAGAGATTTTTACAAATAATATTAAGTTTAAACAATAAAAGATAAGTTACTCTTACTTTTCTTTACTTAGATTTTCAGAACTTATGTCTTGGTACATGTATACAATAACTTTTTATTTAACCATTCACTTTGACAAAAAAGGCCATTGTCTACAAACTTACAACCCTAGTTCATATGATATTTATCATTCTTAGCTTTCTCTATAGGTGATAATATAAAGGCTTGTTTATTATTACATTGTATAAAGTTGTGGCCAAATGCGTATTTAAAGACGGTATAGAAATCAAATATTAATACTTTTTACCGTAAAAGATTTCATGATCTACGTGATATAGGCGGTAACATAGCCCCTCCGTAGCGCTATGTCACAAAAGCTGAAAGATTTTTCTAAGTTTTATATTTCATTCCATGTTAGTTAATCTTTATAATAAGAACAGTTTAATAGTCAGAAATGGTCAAATCTTGGCAACAGAATGGGTGGATAAAAATTTCCTTTCCAAAATAAGCATGGCGACCATTAAAATCCAACTCTTCTGTCTCTGGAGAGACGTTTATTCAAGGTGGATAGATACTTGGTGCCTCTTTTTTATCATATCTAATATGTTTAAAATCTAAAGTAAATTGTATCTTTGGTATTTGATAGGTATGTTATTGTTGAAATATTCAACAGTTTTTCAAAGTGTAAATTGGAGGTTTTGATAGCAACTTGCTTAATTAAAAAGACATCACTTTTAAAACTCTTCACTCTGCAACAAAACAAGTATCATTTTTAACCATCTGCCTTCCTTCATATAAGGGAACCGATCCAATAATTGATTGAATTTATAGGAAGCCATATATCTTAATAAACTGTGTATATATTATTATACGCTACTTCAAAGGCATTTCTAAGATATATCATAAAATCTACAGTCCTTTGTTGAACGTGTACGAGTGAGACAACTATTTTTCGTCACAAGTGACCTATATAGTGATGTCATTACTACATTAATGTGGTGTCACAATCAAGAAACAAAACTTTTTCAGTAAATACTATTTGTAGAACCGGTGTATTGCTATGAGTGTACCAATTTTTTTCTAATCTGAAATGTGGTTTTGTAGATGTAGAGATAGTTCGCGAACTTTTTGATCACTCCTCGTACACGTACTCCCTGATCCCTAAATACAGGTAACCCCTCCCATTTTCGGTCGTTTCTAGGTGGAAATTTTAACACTTAAATAATCTGAGCATATTTCATATGGAAAAGGGAACAATCATTATGAAAAACTTCTGTATTTTCTAAAAGATTAGAGCCGTATCGATTATCCTCTCTCTCGCGATCTTTCTCTCTTTCTTTCTCTCTCTCGTTCCGTACTTTTTAAAGTACAGTAAATACTTCTTATATATAATGGTGAACGGAATATTTTTTTTGCGATGCTGCATGTGGTGTTATTTTATCACTAAAACAATTTTATTAATTGTATGTGTCAATTTTTTTTTTTGGGGGGGGGGGGGATTTGGGGTGTTCCAGTTAGCATTCCATACAAGTGTAATACAATCTACGTACTTGTTCTCCAAGTGCCTATATTTTTACAGTCAATACACCTTGAGGAATGATGCTACTTCAAAGATGGGGATTAACTCTATGAAACTCTCTGAGCTTTCAAACATGTCCACTAAATCCAAGGACTAAAAATAAAATATCAGTACATTTTGTCAATTTTTATATTATATTACATAAATAAACTATACAATTTATCATTGAGTCAAATGCTGACTAACGTTTTTCATACCAATTGTTAGTCCATTATTTATACACTGAATTGACGACGGATTTTTTCCGTTCTTTCCTGATCATGACAAGGAGCACACGGCGGGTGTGACCGGTCGGCAGGGGATGCTCACTCCTCCCTGGCACCTGATCCCACCTCTGATGTTTCGGAGGTCCGTGTTTGCTCTGCTCTTATTTTGTATATTGTTTAATGGACTTTGAGATTGAATACTGTTCGTTATCTCCATATCCTTCTCATTGCGTTTTGTCAGAACGGAGGTATTTGTAATGGAGGTAACTTTTAAAGGTACTTGGACAGAGATTTGAAGTTAATTTTTTCAGTATAATATCACGAATTATATATTTTGATAGCATTTTACACAAAAATTAATTAAAAATCTTATTTCATTTAAAGGTTATTAAAACATTTAATTTTTTGGTGGGTTTGATTAACACATCCTTTCACTTTCACAAATTTTTACTTTATTCTTAATCCTCAGGAAAAGTGGCAATCTTGTTGTGTATTAATAAGAAACATTAAAAATTAAATCCAGAAAAAATAATTTATTCAGAGTAGAAATGTTAGAAAGCAAAATTCCTTCACAAGTATCGTCATTCCGTTGTGTACAAAGTTTAGCAAATCGAGCACACTCATGTTATGTACACAGTTTTGGTTAACAGTCTGTTATTGTTTGGTGTTTTGGTTCACCGGGTGCGTTCAATCGCCAAAGGCTGCTTACCACAACTGCACGGACTGACAATATAGTGTGTGTTTGTTTTGCTTTCAAACATGTCTACACTGAATTTTCTAGACTATAGTAATAATATTTTTCATGAGTACACAACAAGACTGCCACTTTTCCTAGGGATTAAGAATAAAATTAAATTTTGTGAAAGTGCAAGGATATGTCAATCAAACCCGCCAAAAATATTAAAATGTCAATAACTTTTAAATGAAATAAGATGTTTAATTAATTTCTGTGTGAAATGCTATTAAAATATATAAGTCGTAATATTATAGAAAAAATATTAACTTCAAATCTGTGTCCAAGTACCTTTAATGATATAGAAATTGTTTAAAACTTTTCTTTAATTAAAGATTTTCTAAAAATGAAGATATTCTCATGTGGGACGTGGAGACCGGTCATTCGGATGAAATCGTGTAAAACGATGTTCCTTGTCGCTGTAGGTGTTAGCACGAAAAAGATTTCTCACTGTAAAATGGCCTAAAAAGTCAATCACGGAGGACAATTAGCTGCTCTCCAAAGGCAAGTGGTGGCGGCCTCTTCTGAGTGAAAATTCTCGAGAGGGACGTTGAAAAACAAACAAAACAAAAAGAATTAATCTACGTTCAAATTTGTCCGCATCTGTCAGTTGCATCGATTCAACCCTCTTCTTTCTTTCTGTTGTTGTCTTTTTTTCTCCCCGTAGAAAGAAAGAATTTTCAAATAAACGAAAAATTAATGGCCGTCGGCAGATTTACGATCGACCCATAAATATCCTCTTTCTCATCGTAGAAATTATTGTAATTGGTATCTTTGTTGACCTGAGTGAAATCAAGATTTTTACATGGTTATCATTTTTTTTATAGTATATATGCATTTTCCCCTCCTTTTAAAAGTTTTTAAAACTGCTTTATTTCATTGACACACGACTATTTTTAAATTGTCTGTATACCTTTGAAAAAAAAAAGTTAATGCAGATGCATCGCTTTACTGATTTCTCGCGTCTCGGTTGTTAGATCCGCGAAAGTTGTAAATGGTAGAAAGAATCGCGTCACCAGCTGGTGTCTCTGAACTTCCACCTATTGATATGACCTCCGCTCCAACTCCCCTGCACATGTCATTATATAAAAAGCAGGGGTAGGAGTCAGAGGAATCTCCAAATATATAGTGTGCATTTTTTGGAAGTAATCATACATTTTCTGCTTTTGTAAAAGAAAGAGGACAAAAAGGTACCTTATTATACTTGCTTTATTTCATATGTATGTATGAATATTTAATTGCCTTTATACTTTCCATCCAGAAAAACTGGACCACAATCCCTCCAGGTGGTTTGCGCCTGCAGTACGGATATTAACCTTGTCTCCGGCTTTCAAGACCAGTGGATATGTTCTTGAACAGTTTTCATATCCTTGACCTTTAAGATTGTTACAGTTTCCGAGTCCTTTCCTTTTTCCATTGAGGAGGATTTCCGAGTCAAACATCTTTTGAGGTGCCACGACACTTGCCCAAGAAAATACGTAAAGCCCGTTAGATGGAGCTGTGAACACACCAGTATGCCTATTGTACGCTTTTCCATGGTTGTAACGCACACCGCCGTAAACAACGTTGACGTTAGAACCTATTTCCCAGTCCTTTTCTTCGTCCATTGAGAAGGATTACCGAGTTAAACATCTTTTGAGGTGCCACGACACTTGCCCAAGAAAATACGTAAAGCCCGTTAGATGGAGCTGTGAACACACCAGTATGCCTATTGTACGCTTTTCCATGGTTGTAACGCACACCGCCGTAAACAACGTTGACGTTAGAACCTATCTGCAGGTGTAGCGATCTGGTTATGTATGCATTAAATGCAATATAGTTACCTGTGATAAAAAAAGTTAAATATTAGTAAAAGAATAATGAAAAAAACAACCAATAACATGTGTTACCTTTTTATAAAGAAACAGTTAAAATGTGTACGGTTCTAAGGATTTCTAGTGATTATTTGAACCAAAATTATGTAATTCAAATAAACTGGGCATTTTTGCAATAAAAGCTCCATAATTTTTGATTGATTTCAAATGATACAGTTCATGAATATACAAGGGCTTTCAATAGATAATATCCTCGGTGCTTGGAAAGAAGCAAAAGACGCTTTTCAATGATTTAGTCTTAATGATTTGACTTAATATTCTCTTTTAATTAAAACACATATCCGTAATATTTTTTATCCAACTTATGATTGTTTCTAGAACTCATTTTTCGGTATGACCCTTAGCATATTGAAAAATGGCAGTGACCTTCTGATTTCCTGGACTCGTTTCTTCCTTCTGAAAGGTCTTTTTTAAAGTTTGGAAAATGAAACAAGTCAATAGGCGAAAGATCTGGTGAGTATTGTTAAGGAGAAAAAGTTTTAACTTTCTTTTTATCCCAAAAAACTCCTTTACTCTTCAGGGCGTGCGGGTTTGGACATTTTCATTAACATTTGAAGAACGGTAATGTAGTGGATTCCTGATTCTGGTTTCTTTCTTTCGTAAACCTTTCGATTTTTTTGCAAAACAATTGTTATCTAGAATCTTCAAGAAATTAAACTGTCTCCCCGAATACGAATTTGAGCAACAAGAACACTTATATTTAAGATATTTGCATATAAATCTTTATTATATACCCATCAATTTCCTTGTTTCTGTTACTGTTAATTTTACAGAGTTTGATCCGATTATCCGGATCACCACTCTGTGGTTTTCTGAATTCATATCACCACTCTCTGAAACTGATGACGTAGTACGCAAAAACATGATGTTTTTTCTTGCGCGTTAAAAAGTCCCTTGTTATAATATTTTGTTTTATGGATAAATGTTATACAATTGATCTCTAAAGTTTTATTCTGTTATATTTAGCTAGTTATAAAGGGGTATATAATAAATTTATCATTTTAACAGTAACGTGATCCGAAGAGCCGTATCATGTCTCGTTGACAGGCGCGGATCATCAGATCATACTCGAGGCTTCGCGTCTCGTTAGACCTGATGATCCGCACCTGTCAACTCGACGTGATACAACCCTTCGGATCAAGTTACTGTTATAATAATATATATGTCTTTGTGCTCTTGCGACAATTTCTCAGACCTCTGCTGTTTTGTCAAGTACACCTTGTTGCAAATTTTGTATATAGGGTTTCGAGCAATATATTCAAGTTTTATTATCGGTTTGAATTTCAGAGAAACTTGGATAACTACAACTTTTTATAATTTTTTTAAAAACAATTGTTTAGATGTTCTTACATGCTGTCGTTTTCACGCATTTTTCAAAACATAGGGCGACCTTTATGTACTATGCTTTTTCTACTGTCAAACTTTCTTTAAAACAGTGTAAACTGCTATAGGAATGATGTCTATCAAAATTGTCATGTGTCTTCAAGTCAGTCATACATCATCAGTGATGATTTGTTTAAATTTGGCAAACAGTACATCAGTTGTAATAATTTTTGTTGGCAAGGACGGTACCCATATTTGATGCCCATTATTTATTATTTTTTATCATTGAAATCCACCTGCTTATTTGCCTATAAAACAGACATTGGTTGCCGTAAATAGTGCATATTTCAGTAAATATTTCTCTGGGATTCTTAACGAGTTTTACAGCAGCTTGAATGAAGCGTTTTAATTTCAATCTAGTTTACTAAGTCTTTACTATTTATTTTACATGTAGTATCTCAAATAGCCCTTGTTTTCCAGCTTTTCACAGTGAAACTATTTGATGAAAAGTGGTCACATGAATTGTTATAAATTCATTAAAGATTTAATAATGCGAAAAGTCAAGCTCAATGTCATATGATATCCGTTTTGTATGTCATACAGTTCAGGACATTATTTATTGAACAGCCCTCGTAACATAAATTTCTAAATGTTATTTTTCGCTTGCAATATCCATATCATTGTCCCAGTAACAAAAAATACATTGACTTAAATTCAAAAACTAAACATCACAGAAAGCAAACTACTATTCTTTTATGCAAAAAGGAAACTTCGGGTTATTTCTTAATTAAAAGAATTGAAATAACAAGTTAAAACAACAAAATGAAAAGTTACAAGCTAAATAACAAATTGAAGATTTAGAGTTTACCTGATGGCTCCACTAATGGGAACGATGATAAGAAAATAACAAAAGCAGCAGCTTTGAAACACAGCATCTTCTAGCTCTACAGAGAGTTAAATATATATAACTTTGTATGAATATTAAGCAGACTTTCTTTGTACAGTGTTATTTTCTCTACGTGTTATTTTCGCCTTTTCACGTTTGCAAACGTATTTGTACCGTTTTAAATTCGTTCTGTCATAGTTTTGTTTAAGAAATTATACTGCTTGCTTTGAATTCGCCTTGTTTTAAATTCGCCCAAACATAATATAAAGGCAAAAAGAACACGTGGTGAAAATATCCCTGTACAAAGTAGTATGTTCAGAGAAAGTAGAAGAAATATCTAGATTGCAATATGCATGTATATTTTACAATATATTATATAAACTTTATTACCTTTTCGTTGAAGAAACCGCTCAACGGTATGCGAAAATTAGAAGCGAAAAGGACATATTTATAGTTATAATAAAGGTGGTTCTTTGAACCTGTAACATATGCAATTTAACTATGATATTGACATCTCGAAATAAAAATATGCAAACATTCAAATATAACAAACCATGTTGGGTGAAACTGTTGCAACTTTAAAAAAAATAACACCGATCTGCTGTAAATTAAAAACTTCAGGATGTTCCAACATTAATGTTATTTTGTGTTTAAATTTTGAATATAACTACATGAAAAATAAATATCCTCTTCTTTTAATCAATATTTATGTCTCGGCCTTCCTTCTGACGCCGATATCGTGTTAATTACGGCCCACACAGAATTAGCTTTACATGTATTTTTTTTTCAAATTTTGCTGAAACAGGGGAAGAAGTGATATATTTACCAAAAATAATTATCTCTGTGAAAAAAAAAATTATAAATATATATATTTGCATGTTATTTCTCTCACACTTCACACCATAGTCGGCGACTAACGACGTGTTTGATTAGCACAGTCCACTTTCCTTCGAGGCATGCGAGGTGCATGGCAAACGTAGTATAAACACAGTTAACTACTGAAGTCATTAAAAAAGTAGGTGTCAGGACTGAAATGCAATAAAATTTAATCATGGGCGGCTGCCGATTTTAACCATGGCGCAGCTCTTTTAAACATGGCGCACATAAATTTAACAAATGCGGGCCGACATGGTAAAACCCCTTGAGGAGAACCTTGCTTTTTTAAATTAATATTTTTCTCTCGCTCAACCTTTTACAGTCGATATCGTTTTAATTACGGCCCAAACAGAAATAGTTAATTTTTCGATTTTGTTGATACAAGGAAGAAGTGATATATTTACCAAAAATTATTATTTCTGTGAATAAAAGCTTAAGAAAATATATGTTGTGTTTTTTCTCTCATGGTATAATAAAACTTCAAATAAAATACTCAGTAATTGTTTCAGAGTCAATAGTATCATTTACTTATTTAAATACTTTACAAACATCCTACATGAAATAAAAGCCCATGTATATGAAATAAAAAGCGTCTACAGGTTTGTTTACCTGGTAAAAGATGCACTTTTAAAAATAGGAATCCCTGACAGCTACGCAAATATGTATGCCTTAAGATTAACAAAAGTCATGTACGTGAAAATCTTCATCCAAACTAAATTATAATCATATCAAAAACTTTACCGCAGTGAAAACTGGATTTGGTCTAGAAAGAAAATGTATGCGTTTTGGAAATTCTAATATTTGTCATTTTGTGGCAAGTTGGACGAAATGAAATTCATATTATAAAATGAACGATCTATGGAAGTTTTTCAATTATTGATGGTACTTGTAATGGTCTGAGTTAGTTATGGATGGTATTTGTAATAGTCAGAGATAGTTATTGGTTGTACTTGTAATGGTCTGAGATAGTTATGGGTGGTACTTGTAATATTCTGAGATAGTTATGGGTGGTACTTGTAATGGTTTGAGATTGTTATGGGTGGTACATGTAATGCTCAGAGATAGTTATGGTAGGTACATGTCATGTTCGGAGATAGTTATGGGTGGTAATTGTAATGGTCTGAGATAATTATGGGTGGTAATTGTAATTATCAGAGAGGACAGAGATAGTTATGGGTGGTAATTGTAATGGTCTGAGATAGTTATGGCTGGTAATTGTAATTGTCAGGAATAGTTATGGATGGTACATGTAATAGCTGAGATAGTTATGGGTGGTGCTTGTAATTGTCTAAGATAGCTATGGTTGGTAATTGTTATGGTCAGAGACATCTATGATTGGTAAATGTTATTGTCAGAGATAGTTATGGTCGATAATTGTAATGGACGCAGATAGCAATGGGTTGTAATTGTAATGTTCAGAGATAGTTATTGGTGGTACTTTTAATGGTCTGAGATAGTTATGGGTGGTACTTGTAATGGTCAGAAATAGTTATGGGTGGTACTTGTAATGGTCAGACTGAGAGATAGTTATGGGTGGTACTTGTAATGGTCTGAGGTACATGTAGTTATGGGTGGTACGTGTAATGGTCTGAAATAGTTATGGATGGTACAGTACAGGCAACGCGGATCCCGTATTTCCCGCGTCCCCGCCGCGGTATAATCACAACGCGGTATTTGGCCGGGTAGACAGGTAAACCGCGTTCCCTCCGCGGGAATTCATCACTTACCTGTCCCCGCCGCGGTTAAATCATCGATCAAATACTGACAATTAGTATCGTAAACAAACGGAAGTTATCTCCCCGAATTGAAATTTGCGAATTTTCCCTGTAACAAAAAAAAAACAAAAACAAAAACAAACAAACAAACAAAAAAAAAACCGTGTGTTTATTAATAAATTTTGCTATGAAAAGAATTTAAACTATCAAAAAATAAGTTTATTTTTGTTTCTAAAATTACATATCAATCTTTGAAATTGAAAAGAAAATTTGAGTAAATTGGTACGTCTTTGCAATTAGTTTATTATTTTATGGTTTTAAGAATCTATCAAGAAACAAAATTAAATACTAAAAAATTTTAATTAGTTTTTTTAATCTTCATATTATATGCAAACTGTAATAAATGTTGAACTCAGACTGTTTAAGTTTCGATGAACGATTTTCAGCATTCATTTGAAAAAAAAAAGATGTACATCTTTTAAAAAATGTAAATCTTCATATTGTTTATTGATTAATTTCGATTTATTGGATATAAAATGTACAGGCTTTTTCTTAAAGTGTCAAATTACCGGAAAACATCCGATGACGAGCATTTGCAGTTTCATGTAGGGGCACGTGAACTTAAATTTTCTTTATCCAAGATATCAAGAAAAAGTTCTATTCTTCTTTATTTCTCATCGTTTATGTTTTGTTCCCAAATTAAGTTAATTTAATTAATCAATTTTCTTTTATGTATTTCCCTCTTTTATATAAATGTGCAGGCATTTTTCTCAAATTGTCAAATGACCGGAAAGAATTCGATGACGAGGGTTAAATTTGAGCACGTGAACTTTATACAAGAGATCAAGAAAAAATATCGTTTTTCACCTTCACATTAACATGTTTTACTTTTTAATACAATGTCTTTCTTTTTAATATTTCTCGATTTTCGTGTTCAGTAGATAAGACTGGATGTGCAGGTGTATAGATAAACTTCACAGACGAAATTATAGTTTATATTAATAAATATTCAATGCAAAAATTCATATATTTTTGTTTTCTTTGACAAATTCTGTTTCTTTGTGTATTATATTAAGTATTAGCCGCGATCATTTCCTGTGTATAGGGATAAGTAGTGTCTGAGCAGGAAACAACATGCCCTGGGGGTTTCACACCTGTCTTATAGTATACCTTGGGTAACGCTCGCTGGATGTGCACATCGTTGTCTAGCCATTCAACAACACATTTGATTCATTGTTTCATTATTATTTCATCGATATCATATTCAAATGCGATATCAGCCTTGGAATTTGTGTCAAATTATTGTTGCTTTTTTTTTAAACGGAGTGTATAAAAAGAAATAAAAGTAAAAAAAAAATTTAAAACAAATTAATGAAGTATTTGATATTAATTAAATCAAATAATGATCCATTACTATGTTATTTCGTGTCTGTACCAGTTAGAAGATTGAGAGAGAGAGAGAGGAGAGAGAGAGAAGAAAAATATCACAATATTAAGGCACGTGCATGATCGTTTTTCCTCCTTTTTGATCAGTGTATATCAATTTCTTAAGTCTAGCGAATAAAAATACCGCTGATTTATCAGTTTATTGACCATTTGTCGAATTTGTCTAAGTTTTATTGTTATTTATCGAGAGACTTGTTTATGATCTACTTTCTTCTTTCTTTTAGCATATGCACATTTTAATTACTAACCTTTTTGTCGCCAGATTACAACGACAGATTTTGGTGGTAAAATAAAATGTATTTTTGTTATAAAATTTGATTAAGAAAAACACAGTATATTAAAATTGTGGAATTATTGAAAATATTTATTTGAAACAAAAAATTTAAAAAGGATTCTGTCTGCAACAAAAACATTCTTTATTTCATGCATTTCAATTCATGAGCTACACACAAAAAAAAACGGCTTCGTTTTACAATGTCGTAGGAAAACGCATACAGGTTATACACTCAGGTAACATCCTGTGTATATAGGTAGTATGTACACTAGACACCGTCGTTCCCTCGGGGCTTCTCATCCGCTTCGAGTAAGCTCCACTCCACACTAAACTTACCTGAGGAAAACCGAACGGTTACGCAGACATCTGAAAACTTGAAGCATGGCAACTTGCTGATTAAAATAAGTTAATTTCTGTGTTGTGTGTTCAAATATTTTAAGGGCCCATATTTATGTTTGTGTTTTATTTGAACAGGAAAAATCTGAAATTTGTTTAATATGTTCATAGACATGATTTTAGTAATTTTCGAAAAGAGCAGAAAATAGAAATACATTCAAATACTAGTTTTAATATTATTGATATTCTGAATAGAAATACCTGTGATTATTTTATTAACAAGAACCCCTTGGAGAGGACTTATATAGACCATGCCTGATGTCCAATCCAATTATGTAATCTTACTTTACATAATAAAATATTGATTAAATTAACAAGAACCCCCCCCCCCCAAAAAAAAAATCGTCTATAATTAGTTCATAGTCTTACAGTGTGGCGCATAATAATGGAGCAACGGTATTCCTACACTTAGGCGTGTTTTGTTAAAATTTAATTTTAATTATGTATCACTATCTATCATCGTTTTTCATGCTATTATTTATAACAGATATGTATACAGAAGCAACGGTACTTTTCTAAATGAAACCAAATGACTGATATAATCTCGCAGATAAATAAACACATATCTACATGTAACTGCAAAAGCACGGGCTAATTGTGAACACCGGATTTCAGTGCATATAAAGAGAAGCGATAACATGGCATTCTTTCAATTTTAATTATACCTTTTTAGCAATTTGAAGATCATTTGGGGTGGAATTATTGATTTTGAAAATAAACTTTAAGTGAATAGCGAGCGCAGCGAGCGTCGCGAATCGACGCTTGTCACTGCGAGCTCTTAAAGCAACGCCTGTG